TATTACTAGTAGTATTACTTCTACTACTACCTCTACTGCCAAGTGGGTGACAAAATGCTATCTTTGCTGCAGGTTGACGTAGAGAGACCAGCGACTGAACATTCATTTTCTGGTAAACTGCTGGTGGTCTAAAACGATACCCCAAACGATACCTTAACGATACCCAAAATTTGCTCAGATGCCGTTTATGGACCCATGGCCATTTGCTTTGCACAGATCGTGCTTGCCCGTGCCCATTTCCGATGAAGCACGCGCAACACACGTCTGCTGACGAGTCCCATACTCCACGCACAAACCGCCGTTCACCCTCTCAAAGAAGCATACTCAGGCTCCGCGCGGAGCGACTGCTTCATCTAGTTTGCTTGCATCGTATGAACCCAAGAGTGCCACCGGTACTTGATTTAGTCTAACATGCATAAAAGCTACAGTCATGAGTCATGTGCCGAAAGTCTTGTAAAGCGATAGGGGACACCCAAAAACGATACCCCTTGTCAAGGGGCCGCTTCTAGGAACAATAATATTGACGCGCGCTCGTGAGGAACATCGCACCTTTGAAACCTTGACTTCAACCAGCTGTTGCGACGGAACGTGTACTGGGGGCCAAATTTGTTGGGCTGGAGCTGTCCACTTAGCTAGAATCCTGCGTGCGAAGGTCCCAAGACAGCGAGTTTCGGCGCTTCTCTGTGTATGTGGCGGAGGACAGTGGAATTGGGGAGGCTACAACGATGCCGAATGGTGGCCAAGCTGGTAGTGAGCTGTAGCTGCGAGCAAGAGGAAGCTGGCGTGAAGGCTTCGAGGTGCCATGCACACAAACGGGTACTTTACTAAGGCCCTCCAAGTAAGCTGGAGACATAGGTTCGGAGACTTGTAGGCCAACTTGTAGCCATCCTTCTCGCAACCTAGCTCTATAGACGTGCCTTGTTGGCTACTACAGGTAGGCTTACGCCGGTATCAGAGACCATCTGCTTTTGAACAACCCCAAATACAATAGAATGATTCATTTCTCGGAATATATCTGAATCCTTATTCGTTTCTCGATGGCCAATCTCAGCGGGAAGAACCAAAAGGATATTATACTATTTTTCTATTTTGGTATTACATAGGTATTGTTTTCATATTTAAAGAGATTCCCTAAACTATGTATTTTTTATTTTCGCGTACTACATGCTAAGGAATATATTATAACGACATTATGAATTTGTAGATTATGAACTAAATAGCAATATTACGTGTGGTGCTTTTCTTTTTATGTGCGGATTTAATATTTCTCGGTATGCTTTATAATTATTCTTTAGCGGATCTTGCGAACATTGATTTTTATGAAGCAATATCTAAAATAATGGGATTGTAAGGGATTTTTATGAATATTGATTAGTGAACAACTTATGAATAAGGAACCAATGCGATTATATAGATATAATAAATAAAATAGAAAAGCTCTATAGATTTAATTATTATAAATTTCTCCATAATTGTGTGCGTGTTAGGATGCGTTTTGGCTTTGCGGCAAGCTCTTCGGATGGCCTCTCTGCTTTTGCGGGCCTTTTGGTCTTTCGTAAGCCCTGTATAGGGGATTCTCGAAAACATTGGAGGTATTAATTTGTCGAATATTGCTGGAATTAGGAGTTGAAATTTCTTGGAATTTCGGGAAGCCTCATAGCTTTTTCACGTCGAGGAAACGCAAGTTGCGGGCGAGGGCGTGTTTGTCGTGGGAAGTGTCGCGGAGTGGCGGACGAGGGCGTGTCGAGGCGAGTTGTAGTGGCGCGGGAGGGCGTGTCGCGGAATGGCGGGCGGACTGGCTGGGCTGGGAGTGTCGCGAAGTGGTGCCATGGGCGAGCGGGTACGTGTCGTGGGGAGTGTTGCGAGGCAGCGGGCAGGGGCATTTGGTGGGGAGTGTCGCGGACTGGCGGGCGAGGGCGTGTGTCCGGGAGTGGTGAGCGAGGGCGGGTGGAGGGGAGTGTCGCGTGGTGGGTAAGGGCGTGAATGTCGGGGAATTTATCTCGTGGAGAATAGCGGGTGAGGGCGAAGAGTGTCGTGGAGTGGCGGGCGAGGTTGGGTGGGTGGTGGGTGTGTAGAGCACAGAGAACGTCAAGGGAGGAAGGAGAGACAAAAAAGCTCTTGGCAAGACTGGCCAAGTTATCGTTGTCAAACACGTCTTAGGGCATTGAGGAGTATTCTGCTCGAGGTGCATCAAGTTCTAATGGAAAACCACTACATCCAGGAGGCCATGAAAGCCACGAAGGCGTTCGTAGAAGCCGCAAAGGAGATGTTAGCCAAGGAGAAGGAAGAGCAACTAGGACTGCTTCAGGTCCATGTCTGGAACGCGAAGCTTGGAAGATCGACAGAAGGTCAATTAGGATCCTACGCTTCAGAGTGCGCTGGTGACTCAAGGAGTACGCGGGCAAGTACTAGGAGCTGGGATGGAAGGCCGTGCACGCCGAGGTCAGGTACGCCCGAATTCAGAAGAACTTCAAAGTGGAGCTCAAGCGTCTGGAGATTAATGTCGTGGACTAGTCTCCGTCCGACGAGGTGTGGCGGATCATCAAAGAGGACTTGAAGCGCGATAAGGACGTGCGAGAGTTGCCAGGAGTGGCTCCAGCAGGCGACCTTGAGCGCTAGCTGCAGCGGTTCCTTGATGAGAAC